TCCTGGCCTACAATCTTGATTATTCAAGAAAACGTTAAATCTGATCATGGTTGCTTGGTAATTAATAATTAATTAAGGTGGTATAAAAAAAAATTGTAGATCATCTGTATGTCACATTATGGCAAATGCTGGCAAATGAAACTCCTTTTCAAAAAGAACTTGTGATGCCAGCATGCTTTTTAACAAAACACCTCATAACAACTCATAAACATTTTGGACATAAAAATTCACAAAGCTAATCAAGCATGTTTAAAGTTTGGTATACAAGGAAGAACCTAGACTAGTTATTTACAGTAGCTATATAAATACTGCAAAACAGTTCTTGAACAGATTGATTTGGACTGACCTCTCAGGTAAGTACTGTATAATTACAAAATAAAGAATAGAATAGAATAAATAGTTCAGATCTTTGTTGTAAGCTAATAAATGCTAAAATAAAAATAAATAATGAGGTAATATGAACAGCACCTACAGATGTTTTTGATCTAAAAGCTGGTGCATTCACAAATTAGAAGTATAAATCTTATAACTTGGTAAGGACACCGTCTGAAAGATGTTTTCAAAAGTTAAAAAAAAACCCCATCTTGAACGTATTTATAAATGTAAGATTTCTTAACAGAGTAATTGACAGAAGAATTGAAGTACACGGCTCTATATTAGTTTTTTACTCTAGCTGTCACAAATACTGTTTCTTCATTCCTCATAATTCCCAGTTTTTAAGGATAAATTTACATACATAATAATATAAATAAATTCTTAGATTTATATCAGCCCAGCTTTGATTGGAGTTTGTCCGCTGTTATGCAATCCACCAGATTAGGTTTCTGTGTCATGATGAATGAGATCTGAAGGTAAAAGTGATCCAACCCTATACCTGATAAAGTGGCCATTGACTGTACATTCACATTTTCTTTAGTTTTACTCTGAACCTGTTTGGTTTGATTGCATAATTCCCAGAACTTCTGTGTTTGTAGTTAGCTGGCAATTGTTCTGTAAAGGCAAAACATCAAAAAACAAAAAGGACAGCATTTTAAATGTGTTCCTCAAAAATTTGTAATGTCTTTAAACAAAAGTAAAAACAAGAAGTCATTGAGAATTTTTCTTCTCAAGTATGAGACTGGTTGAGTCTGATTCTCTTTAAGAACATGAGGCATGTGTTCCTAGTAACTAAGTGACTTTCTGTCCTTCAGGATATCAGTAAACAGCCAGTTGTCTTCCTGAGGCGGTGTTGGTATGGGGCGGAGCTCAGCGTTGTTAAGTGGGACAGTGAAGGACTGAGCAACTCCTTCAAATGGTGTAAACTGTAGGTTATTTTCACAGTTAACTTGCATACAGGTGCTCTCCTCCTGAGAACACTGGTACGCCTGAAGCTGTGCGATGTTGTAGTGGTGGTAGCTGACTGAGGAGGGGATCTGCTTCTGGTTGATGTCTGTATTTTGACAGAGTTTAAAGGTGTTAAATTGTTCCTCTTCTGTGTATGCACTTTGTCTCAGGGTCACTGAGCTCCTGTGGTTACCCTGGAATTGGTCTAAGCTCACTCCCTGGTCTGCATATGCATATTCATACCTACACTCACCTTCACAGTGGAGATCATCCACTTCGGTAAAGTTATGTGACTGGTCTCCAAATATATCATCATCATCATCACCATGGCATGCACAAATGCTTTCAAAATATGCCTCTATGTCAGTGCAGTCCCCTAAGTCCTTATTGTCAATGGAAAATGGCTCCATTATGTCAGTCAGCTGACCCTCAGAGAAGTCGAAGTAGCTCTTCTGAGCCTGCGCGCAGCCCGCGAGGTCTGTGAACACTTGAACGGAGAAATCACAAGAGTCAAGAGACAATGGAGATAATTCTGGGGAGAAGGAGGGGGAGATGTCCACATTTTGGCCAAGCTGAATGAAGTCATTTGTAGTCGACTCTGTGTCTTCTTGGTGGTTGTTGGCTGGCTTCGACTGACTCTC